CTATAGAAGACATCAGGATCACCAGAACAAGAACATTTATAAGGCACCAAAAAACGGCATAGCAAAGAACAGTGGTTTACAATGGATAGAATAATATAATATAAAAAAAGGTACAGCACACTGCAATAACAAATACATGAGCATTTAAACCCAAATAAAAGTCCATAGATGTGTGATCTACAAAGAATTAGATTTAAGAATTTCTATTTCCCACAAGATGCCATATTACCATCCACTTTCTGTTATTAGAGAGAACTCAGCTACAATTCATGCTACCTCATTTCTTGGACGAGAGAGAGAGAGAGAGAATCCCTGTGATAAGCAAGAATAGAGAGCATAGAAATTCACAAAGCTTAATAAGTAGATTTCATAATGGACACTTTTTGAATTAGCAAGAAATAAGCCTCTGAAAAATTCACAATAACAAGGAACATTCCAAGCCATATTTAACAACTGATGTCTGTTAAATAGAATAAGAAGCTATAGGCACCATGAAGACCTAAGTAATAAGGTAATAGAGTCATAACCAAAGTGAAACCTGTAATAACAAATTTCCCAACACTAATGAAACCTAAACAACTTCTCAGAACAGAAAAAAGAAACCTCAACAAAAAATTCCTTGAATAACACAAAAGACCCAAGTCAAAGAAATTACATATTGATTGACAATAATACCAAACTATCCTTTCCTTTGAGTGCATCACTCTCCCCCAAGCTTTCATAATAAATCCTTGACTAAGAAGAAAGTCAATGGAAGCAAGATCATCTAGATTACAGAACCTACATAGCTTCAATACAATGAGACAGGCAGGAATCTTCCAGGAGCATGGTTTTGATGCTGCCTTAGTGATGCAGACAACAAAAGACTAAGATTTATGTTTTCTTTAAATTTTAGAATGCATGGGTATTTTAGTATTTTTTAGGTTTGCTGGAAATCTATCTAGGTCTAGGCTTTATTTCTGTTTAGTGTTTTATTTTCTTAGTCCTGAAGTTATGAGGTTTTCTATTCCTAAATAGGAATAATTCTGTTGGAGGTTTGGAAATCCTTGTCCTAATTGGATTTGGACTTCTACAACTCTATAAATACAATATGTAGTCTTTCAATATTCAAAATGCAATAATATCGAATAATTTCCAGCAATTTGCCTTTGATTGTGTGACTCAATCCCCCTTAGGTGTGACTCCTAAGAGCCTTAGGTGTGAGGCTTAGGTTTTTTATCCTCTAGGTGTGACTTCTGGAAACCCTATTAGTGTGACTCTAATAGTTCTATAATTCCCCGTACAAATCCACATCAATACAGACCTAAACACCCCTAAACAGCCTCCAAACTCAGATCCAGAACAGCCCCTAAGCTGTCCTGCATCACTTAGGGATCAGAAGGCACGTGTAACAACAATGCAGAAACTGACTTGCAAACATGATATCTCGAGCTTCAAAATTCACTGAACCTCGAACCAAGGACATCAACTAATGCAGCCATATTCACTTCTTATCAATTATTAGGGGAGCCCCTACTTAGACCTACTAGATTTTACCACATTTCTGCTAACTGAAAAGGTATTGGGAAATTGGCGCTACATATGCATTAGCTTAGTTTTTACAAAACAAGCTTAGTTTACATTCTATAATGTTGCAAATCATATACCAATATTCTCAAAACATCATCATAATCTTTTCATGAACGTAGACTGCTTTTTTTTTTTTTTCAGATTTTGCAGCCATGTAGTATCCTGGAGCAAGCTTTTGCGCACCAAGACTTAAGTTCACCTCTCAGGTTCAGTAACTAGGAGATACTTGGGATTAAAAAAATAGTAAAACATTCAGAAAACAAAATAATACATCTACCAGCAGCTTGTTAAAGTTGGATTTTAACAGTTCCTGTGAAACTACAGTAGTCTTTTGCTCAGATGAAACTATGTAATCTAAAATATCAATTTAAATTAAGTTTCTGAAGAAAAATATGAGAAAAAGACAACAGAAAGTTAGTAGTTCTCAAAGCAAAGACACTAAAAGATGGGACAACAAGGCCCTATCTCGAAAACTTCTGTTCTCTTGTACAAAACAGAAGGTTCTATTGGGAGAATGTACAAACAGTCACCAAAGAAGTACCACCATGAAGACGAAGAAGCTAACATGAATACTGGGGCAAAAGCTTGTCTTAAGAGTCAAATTACTTCAGCAGTTCAGACACAATTATTGACAAGAGTTTACAGCTCTAATTCGCACAAAAGTTGAACATTAGCCTTTATTCCATATTGACAATGTTATGTTTAGCGGATACCTTTTGACACCACTAATCAACTATTTTCCTCGAAAATCGTTTTCACCTGACAAAGAATCTTTGGGACTGTTATAAAGGAAGTAAGTACGGGGAAAGCAAGGCCTATGCATAACAGGTGACAACTTGTCCATCCAACCAATGTCTTTTCATAATTTCAGCTCATAGACCCAAGACACGAATTATCTATGATCATTTACTTAAAAGAAGGGCTAAGATTCATTCTCTGCACAACAATGGCATTTGGTTCCACCTCAAAAGAAAAGGTACATTTGCTTGACAGTTGGCCCTATGTGTAATAACCGAGACTTTGAGACATTCCTATGCATATGTGTGTGTTCATTTTGGTTTAGACCATACATATGCATGTGTGTGAGTTTACTTTGTTAAAGCATGTGTATGTTATGCTTTTTGGTTTGCAAGGATGTTATGTTTTGTGTTTACATGGAAGTTGTGTTTTATGTTTGCATTGGTATTATGCTTTGTGTTTGCATTAATAAGTGTTTAGCTTTGTGTTATGCTGTTATGCTTTGTGTTAGCATTAATGTGTTTATAGACAAAGTAGCATGTTATTAAGTGTTGTGAGGGTGTAAGTGACTTAGGGACCTTAGTACGACAATTAAAAGATTGAGGGCTTAAGTGAATTAAGTAACCAAATAAAGTAACTAATGTGTTAAGTTGTTCAAACTTGGAGGACTTAGAGATATAGCTTGCTCTCAAGTGTTCCATACATGTTATAACCTAAAGCTTGAATGATGTCCCATACATATGCTAATTTAGGGAAATATCTTGATTAAGTAATTAATCTAGAAAATTCCATTAGTTAAGAGTCCATACAAGTGGCAATTCTTGGATTATTGATCTAGATAAGTTGGCAAAGAGAGGAAGAAAAGGGGGAAGGGTTTCTAAACCATCTTAGAGACATTTTAGCCTTGAAAAACATAAAAAAAAACAAGAGAAGAAACTGAATTGCCCAGGAGAATCAATTCTGGCCGAAAGGAAGAGAGGAAGTTTGGGTAGTTTAGCTACGAGCAACAACAAGGAAGGAAGAGATGATTTTTGAGAGCTTCTAAGGTACTTGCAACACTAATTAAACCCTAAAGTAAGTGTAATCTCAACTACATCACAAGACATGGATGTTATAGACTTTGATGTTTATGTGTTACTTGATGACTTGTGTCATGTATCTACTTGATGATTGTTTACTTGAGGTTGTACTCATGTATTTATTGGAGGATTAGTAGGTGTAATCCCAAATACACCACAAGATATTGATGTTATGTGATTGAATATTGATTGAACATAGATGTTATTTGGCTTGTGTTGTGTGATCACTTGATGATGGATCGCTTGAGGTGTTGTTTGGTGAATTCAGCTAAGTGTCACTTGAAGTTACTTGGTGTTGTATCCATGTGTTAATTGAGGATTGAACATCCATGAGGTTATGCGATTAGGTATTCATATGTATATTGGATGATTGAACTTTGTACATGTCTTATGGCAGTTTCAGCCTATGTAGTTATTTGATGTCACTTGGTTATGTTTTCATATGGTTAGTGGTTGATGGAATACTTGTGGTGTACTTGACAGTTTTGAGTTAGATGGTTACTTGATGTCATTTGGTCAAGTGTTTAGGTGTTTCATTGGAGATAGGAGTACTTGTGAAATCATGGAGGGTTTCGGTTCATGTATTGCATTCTTGTTATGTGGTTTTGTTTAATGTGTTGGTTTCAGCCACTTGATTTGTTTAAAGCTACTTGACTTACGTTCATGTGTTTGCTTGAGAAATTGCATCCCAACTGCATTCATGTCATGATGATGTTTTATTATGATTTCAAGTATTCAAAGAAAGGTCTTGTTCATGTTTTCAAGGTGGGCTTGCAAGGGAATGATCTAGTGTATACTCTTTGCAAGGCTCGCATCTAGACATGTTTAAAGAGGGCATACAAAGAGAATGATTTGGTGTATACTCTTTGTATGTTTCAAAGAAGGCATGCTAAGGGAATAATCTGATGTATACTCTTAGTATATTCAACTATGGCTCACCAAGAGAATGATCTGGTATATACTCTTTATGAGGATAACAGAGAACGTATTTTAGTCTCGTGAACAACGGATTTGCTTGCATTCATCCATGATTACACTTACCGAGCATTAGCTCATCATTTTTCTTGTGATGTAAGTGAATCAAATTATGCATGATGGCTTGATGTGGAGTTCAAGATGTTGCCGTGAGGAGCCAAGTTTGCCAAGTGTGTACTATACATGTAGGTTAAAATTGAAAGGCTAAGTAATACCTAAGTTTGGCCACTTTTGTGTCTCCTATGTTTAATCATTTAGTTTGTACACCTATGTTACTTTGGGCAAACTTTAGTATGTTAATGAATATGTGAGTTCGGAAGTTTATGAAATGATTTTATAGTTTGAAATAATGCAATGGTTTTATACATGTGAGGGTTTAATGAAACGGTCTCCAATTGTGAGACTTGAAATGGTTTCAAATGATTATATGTTTTATGAAGCTTGAATTGGCCTTGCATGTGTTCAATCCACAGTTTACCTTGAACTTTAACCAAAAGTTTTCCACAGTGCATTGTATTTCATACACGAAGTAGAGGACATGAGGCTTAATGTCTTGCATCCCACAGGTGTGAGGCATTGCCGGTACCATTCTTGGCCTCCTTTAGGTCGAGAGTGTTATACTAAAAGCATGAATTTACATTAAAAAGCAGTGGATTTTAGAGGACTTTGGGAAATTTGCCAGGGATTCAAGGAATGAATAAGGTTCAATATGGGGTCTGACAAAGTAATGAAGTACCTGGTCAAATTGGAAGTTGGTCCAGCTCTCGGGAATAAAGAGGCATATCTTTTCAAAAATTGTATGGAAATGCAACAATCTGGTTTAACACCCAGATCTTTTTTTCATTTCCTGTGACTCAGAATGGGGGGAATACTCAATCAAATCAATAACCAGGGTAGGAGGAAGATATCCTAAGGAATAATACATGCAAGAATCTATGGATGATTAAAAGTTCAAAACAGGACACATTTTCCAGGATACTAGAATGTCCAGAAGACTTACCAAGCATCCCAACCAAGCCAAAGAAAGAGACAAAGCAGAAAATTACTAAAACTCCCTTACAAGTTTACCAAACAAGGTTCGGTATTGGAGGACAAATTTTGGAGATCTATAGTTAAGACTAAAAGGAGGTTTCTTCATTCCCTGGTCGACAGCGGCCTAAAATGCAAACTACGCTACACTACACAACAGCAGAGCAAATCAACTCCAAGAATATCGTTCAACAAGAAAGGACATAAATAAATGAACTACTGAGTTTTGAGCTTAAATCTGTAGAAATCTATCATCCAATACTTTAAGCTTTCTTCTAATTCAACAATAACCTACTGAACTTTCAGGTTACCTGAAGGCTGCATGCACTTGTCAGTTAAAAGAGCTTTATTATAATAAATTACGCAGCAGTTGAGCTAGTAGCCTAAAATGCATAATGCCGCACAAAAAGTACAACATGTAACCAAGTTAAGTTGTGAGCAATTTACCATTAGTGGCTCTGCGTACAAAGTGTTTGAAAAAGTTAATAACTCTATATTTATATCCACATTTAGCAAGCACTCAAACCCCATATCATTCTATGCCAAATTGTTCTTAAATGTGAAAACAAGTCTCAGATGTTTGACTTTTCCCAGAAAACATTGCAATTTATTTCCAACTATGAATTGCAGTTTGTACATGGTTCTGTGTTTCTTTCTGCAAATTAAAGCTCGATTGTATGTCATAAAATTGCAATTCTGTGTAATTCAAGGTTGATATATAAAGGGAAGAAGAGTAAATAAGATAGTCAGGATCATTATAAAACTTTGAAGAGAACTATTTTCTTAACCCAGACCTTCAAAGCAAAACAAATTGAAACATACTTTTGTGCTGCAAATGTGAAAAAGCCAACTAGTAACAAAGCATACCTCACAAACCCATTGTTGTCAAGGTCTGCAGCAAGAAACTCAGAGACAGTCATGTGCTGACCAAGCACCCACTTTGCCATCTCCCTATGCCGCTTATCCACTCTTGCCTCAGCCAAATACAAAAATGCGCGAGCGACAGCTAGTGTCGACACAAGCAACCAAATGGAAGCAAAAATACGACCGGTCAATGAATTGAATGCTCTATCACCATATCCAACGGTTGTAACCGACATAACGGATAGATAAAGTGAATCCAACCATCCTAGCCTCTCAACAAAATGCATAACACCGACACCAACTCCTATACAAAGAACCACAACACCTAATGCCAACCCCACCTTCATTCTTATCCTCATTCTCCCTTTCTTCACATCAATTATATATGAACCAGCAGATTCCTTTTCGACTCCTCTCTTAACATTCCTCAACAAATGACTCTCTTGCAAATCAAGAACATAACTAACCATCCCAGAAAGCAAGATATCAACAAAACCAAAACCAATCAACACAAAAAAAATGGAGAACAACTTGGTAGCAGTGCTATCAGGGGTAATGTCCCCATAACCAATAGTACACATGGTCACAATACAAAAATACAAAGCATCCACAACTGGGTGCGTTTCAATCCCTTTAAACTTATCACGATTAAAAGAGTATATAAGCACACCAAGAGACAAATACAATACCAAGAGAACAAAAGCTTGACGTACTATTGATTGAGAACCAAACTTAGGCTTGGTAATAGCAGGGTGGTTAAAATCATTGATGACAGCCATAGCAGGCGCAGTTTTTGACCTGTGAAGATTGGTTTTTTTCCATGAACGATTAGGATCAACTAACCAAGATTGATGCTGCTGCTGCTGCTGATGTTGCAACTGAGGACAATCAAGAAATGAGTTAAAATCTTGATTAGAAGGGGAGGGTATTGATGAATTGAGAGAAAGTGTCAAGGCTTCAACAAGAGGAGAAGGGTCTCTAGGAGAAGCAGAAGATGGGCCAAAAATAAGGCGGTCTTTAAGTTCAGAAGGAGTTAGAGGGAGAGGTAAAGAGATTTCATCGTCTTCGGGGAGAGTACAAAGTGGCAGCGGTGGTTGTGGCGTTCTCTTTCTTGGGCTCAGGTATGGAAGTAGAGGCTCTTTCTCCATATCGCCGATTCTAATTCCCGGCAACCAGTTACTGGAATTAGCAAAGATTTGGAGTAAGAGGGAGAGAAGGTTTTAATAAAGAACCAACAGGCAGAGTATAAATATTGTAGTTTTGCATACATTGCTAAATTTGATTTGATTCAATTCGGTCATCATGCGGTTGCTTGCAAAACCGCAGAAATAATCTTTTACTACCTGCTTCTTGAAATTTGTTATAACTTAATCCTCGTATTTTAAAATTTTATAATTTAGTCCCTTAACTTTCGGCGACCAGTTTTTTTTTCAGAATGGAACTCAAGCTTGTCACTAGATATGCAGTGTTATTTCATTATTAGATATTCCCTCCATCAACACATGTTAAATACTAAAAAATAAAGTTAATTTGCTAAGAAAGTCAACTACTATGTTTGTTTTTACATGACCATTTTGTTATTAAAAGATTCGTTGGTTTTTACCTAATCTCAAATATATTATTTAATAATTATAATTTAGAGAGAAAAACTAATACAGTGAGAGGTTTGAGAAAAATCAATCCACAAATGGTTAACAAGAGTCAAAAAAAAAAAAAAAACGATTTTCAGAATATAAAGGAATAAGTTGTAACTGTGTTCAAAATTCAGGGGCTAAATAATAATTAGCTCCAAAATTTTAATGGAAACAAAACTGTGAACCTGACGTGTGTTTCGTTCCATGCAGATGATTCCACATTTCCGCCGATAAATAAGCTTCACGCGCTTCTTCTAAATTGTAATTTAACCATTCCAAAACACTGCTATGCTATCTAGTCCTGCCACATGGCAATAGCATCCCTTAAGTTTGAGAATTTTCATTTTTTCGTATTTGGCAATTGGAATATTAATATTTTGCACTTTGGATTCAAATAGGAAAAACAAACACTTTCTAAAAATATTATGGATTGGGTTGTTTGTTTGTTTTTATTCGATCAAATTAAGTTTCTAATCAGATTAATTTACACATTAATTTAATTTAATTTTTTAAATTTTATTATTTTCAAGCAATCTTAAAAGTATACTCACAAATCATGACAATAGTAATGCAAAGCATTTTTCATAACATAACTTACATATCATTTATTATTATTATTTCTTACGAGGAATAACTTAGTCTATCATCCATGTGCAATGAAAATAAAGAAAGATTTACAAGAGGCAACAAGCGTAGTGTCAATAATTATTAAACGCTAGAAAACCAACAAATATTATAGGATATATGCTGGTCCCTTTTGCAGCACGTCCCCTACTCCATTCTTCCAAAAGAGAACTTGCTTAATTAGTTTTCTCCTAAACCCCACCCACGTTAGCCTCTCCTATTCATCGAAAAAATAAAAAATTTATCTCCTTTTGGCAGAATAGATTTTAAATTATGCCCCTTGGTTCAGAATACTTTCTGCATTTTCAATTTTTTTTAACTTAATCCTTTTAGTTCTTTTTAATTTATTTTGACTTTTTTGTTTTAAGAGATAAAAACATATAAAATAATTGATGCAAACAAAAGATGAAATTTTATTAAATAACGTAATATTAAATTAAATGCGATAAATACTGGTAAAAAATCTAAATGATTAATTTTTAAAATAAGGGACCAATTAATTCATTTCTCAAACATATGGGGACTAATTTATAATTTACTCCATTGTGATCTCCAGCAGCGGCGAGCATTAAGCCCAACAGAGCCACATTTATCATTCTCTCTTCGAATAACTTCCTGTCGTCACATTTTTCCGCCATTTAATGCCATACGATAGGGAGGCACCACTCGAAAGCGAGCACACCATAATTAAGGGTAGAACTAGTCAGCTACGAACAATTAGACTCCCCACAAATAATGCTCCCTCGTGTATGACAAAAGAGAATCTTTTAGCTACTACCATTTGATACGCATATCCTACTTCCATTTCAGCTCATCCCATCACATTGATCCAGTCCAGCATCAGGACAGGAATGAATCTTTTCATATAACCATACCAATTTTCACGTCATCAAATGAGTTGTTTTCAATGCCAGACAGACAGATGAATTACTCAAACTCAGAATGAGCCTTTGATATAGATTGATAAGGGATAAGAGGCTTATGACTACAGGAAATACAGATGAGAATATCACACACAAAAAGTGTTTTGGATAAAAATACGACTAATATGAAACACAGTATACCATCGATTGAGACAAGTTACAAATCTGAGTTAATCGTCATCCTCTAGAACACTCCGACGCCTCTGGATCTGAAGAATTACATGAAAATGTCAAAAATCAAAATCCGGTGACACAAACGATATCAAGAACAGTTTCATCATTCATGACTTACTGTGACTTTTGTCTGTTTGGTTGTTTGGTTGTTAATCTGTTCCAGCAATGATATGAGCCTCTCCTCAGAAACCTACACGTAATAAATTGAACACGCATGATTAAGAACTTTGGCTTATCACACTGAGTGAAAAATCATAAATAGATCATTAGCAACCAATATATATTTAGGAATGAACCAAAGTGCACCACCAAGCCACAGCCTTCCAACATACCTTCTCAACTATTTGACCCATTTGAGCAGCTCTCAGGATGACATCTTCAACACTCCTTGCCTTCTCAGGCTTCACCAGAGCAATTCGGGCAACTGCACAGATGGCAAGAAAGCAGAGTAATACAATTGATCCCCTCTAGTTGATAAGACAAAATGAAAGATCACATCAAAACACACATACATATTGTTGTGCAGTCGGCAAATCAGTTAGGGTCTACTGCTGACTTGCAAGGAGATTTCTTGTTCCCTTTGCTTTTTCTAGTTGAACTCACTGGCTTGACGCACCACGGTACTAAATTTTTATTCTTGCATGCATGGTCGACAGCTTAAATATTTCATGCAGAGTTGATTGATTTGCCAAAAATTGCATGATCTGAACTTAATTTTGCAAAAAAGTCCAGACCTCTAAGTCCAAGGTTGGTTCACAGAATTCCATTTGGCTTTTCAAGCATTTGTTTGTATATTACTTGTGTTCATTGGTCATCTATACCTCAAAAATCATTCTGCTGTAATACCCAAATAGCATATAGCCTATCCATGTATCCAATGACCATTTCTATCATATGATTGGTTACAATAACATAATTTGAAAGCCTTCTAATTAAATTTAAAAAAGCTCGATTCAGATCTTGAGAAAGTCTGCATTGTCAGAAAAGCATTTGAAAAATCTCACTGGTGAGGATTGCTACTTTTTGAATCTAGAAATAGATTATCAACACATCGGCTGAACTCCTCCACGGTCATCAATGAAATTACAAACATCCTAATGACACAATAACCTATTTATCTCTAGCTTAATACTTGGCCCAATAAATGAGGCAATACATCCATTTTTGAACAATTCTTAAATGCATGGTTATGAACATGTCAGCAATTAACAAAAAGAAAGAAAAATGGAAACTTATCAAAAACCAAACAGGTTAAAATCAAGAGCCAGAGGGATTCAAGAATGCTCATGTTGACACTGGATACTAATCAAGATATTTGTGACTTAGAATGTCCAGCTTAACAAAAATGTGTACACGGCTGTAGAGAATAATTGAGCAACTAGATGCCCTAAAGAATTATATACAAAGAGATTAAAAGCAATTCCCAGAGTTCCTAGGGAAAGAAACTATCTTCCTCATCTTCTGTGAATCTAAATTCTCCATCCACAAATTCACTGGCCAGCTCTATTCTAACCACGTAAAATTTTGCCAAAAGACATAATGTTTTATGACACCATGCTACATTAATGGATCATAAACAGAGCAATAAATCAAAAATAAAATAAACTACCAATTCAAATAATGAAACATAAGCAGAGTGGTAATTTGATGCTTTCTGAAAGGAAACTATGAAGCAATTTTTTTCCAAGTGATCGCAAGCACTATTGAAAGATAATGATCCAATTAAAGAACTCCTACAGATGATCTCAGTTGTGGGCTTACGTCTTTCTCGTGCTTCAGAAGACAAAATCTGACTAAGCATCATTTGCCTTCGCTCCTCAGCATCCCTGCATCAAACACACAAATAGTACAGCCTGAGAATTCTGTATAAAAATAATAGTTGCAAGTCGCAACACAAAAACACACAAATCTGTTTGGATGAAACCTTGATTTCTGGTTTTCTATAAACTGGTTTTAAAAGTAGCTTTTTAAAAACAAAAACTTAGAAACAACCCTGCTTTCAAATATCTGAACAAGCTTTTGCTATTCCCTAAATTACTCAGATACTAGAAAAACACCATTTCAAAACATAAAATCTCAAGAGTATAATTTATGCTCTCACTTCCAAAGCAAGTTTTTGGAAACCAAAACAGGCCCTAAGAAAAGTTTTGAGTAAAAATGCAAAACTAGAATTTCAGAAAGCAACCTCTTTGCATCTTCCTGGGCCTTCTGTTGCTCAGAATCTTGCTGACTTCCCTGTTTTTAGAGGTAAATTTTGAACAATGCAGTTATCATAAAAGCAAAGAAACTTCTAAATGCCACATAATTAACACACACAAATTAAAAGAAAACTACTGTAATGATAATAATCACGATTACCATCCCTCGTTGAGCCATGAGCTCTTGCATTCTTCTTTGTCTAATTGCTTCTAACTCAGGATCAGCCTATAATTAATAAGAACACGAACAAGAGATGAGCCCAAAAAAAAAAAAAAAAAACCGCCTTGACTGTTGGTAAATAAAAAAAGACTCCGACTTTCAAGTATGTTTGGCATAAATAATGAAAACCCACATGAGATCAGTTCATATATTACCTACTTCTAACAAAATTTAAACGCTCATAATCTAAATCGAGTATCTAAGAATTATTAAGCAACAGATGACTAAAAGGAACAAAAAAATAAATAAATAAATAGAGGGAAATTAAAGGAGAGGAAGGAATGGAAAATAAAAAAGCATTTGGGGCAAACCATCGATTGACTGGAGTGATGGAGAAAGTTGGATTCTTGCTGAAGATTTTGAATCTGCTGCGAGCCTCGCCTTGTTTTACTTCTCTTTGCTCCTACTCCAAAGAGATTTTGTATTTTTATTGGGTGGATGCTCACAACAAGGTCTAGCGTTTGGTAAACGCGATTTTGTAGAGCAGTATCAATTACCGGCTAGTGGGCCCAAGGCTCCACCATGACGGAAAGCATTAGCATTTAGCAATGGGAGCGAGTTGGATCGGGCTTAGCCTTCTTAGTTCCTGGCCTTTCAATAGGCTCTACGTCAAATCACAATTAATAATATTATAATAAAATAACGGAAACAAAATAAAATGATTCAATAAATAAAAAACATAATACATAATTTCAGTTAAAAGATTCAAAAAATTAGAAAATTCATATATGGGCAAAATCCTATAAATCATTAGTGTGGTATGTTTTATAACTATTTAATGAAATCGTAATCCATATGCAAATTAATAATGTTTTATAATTGGTTGTTTTTTGTGATGTTGAAAACTTGGGTATCGGTGTAATGTTTTAACAGTTAGCTATGAGGATGTGAACAGTTTTCTTTTTTTTTCTTCGGTAATTAAGATTTCATTTGTTGCCATGAATTTTGTTTTTAAGGTGTTGCATATAAGTTTTTTTTTTAATCGAAGGAACTTGTAAATGGTTTTTAATCGAAGGATCCTGAAGAGTAATAGCATCAGTAAATGAATGGGCCGGGTTTTTAATGGTTTAGTAATTTTGAAACTTCTTATTTCTTAAAATATTTTATAAATTTTAGAGGATTTTTTCTATTATATTCACATACAACTCAAGGACAATTTAAAAATAAAAAAATATTTTTTTCAATTTAGATGAAAAAAAAATCACATAATTACATATTGGAGAATCTGAAATCATACAAAAACATAATAGACGCAATTAGTGTATGTAGGAATATATTAGAGATTTATCGTTTTTTTTTCTATATTTCAGTCATGCATATTTTGGTAAAAAAAATTCTCATGTGACCTACACATGACCGTTTGATCAAAAAAATTAACCGAAATAATATATTAGATAATTAAATATTATTTAAAGATATAATAGGAATAATTAGAAGCATAAAAAGATATTAAAGACTTATGCTATTATACATGAACGTATTGAACTATTTATTCTTTTTTTTTAATTTTTGTATTAATTTAGGCTGGTTTGCTATTGTATTTTATAATTTTTAAACTTTTTAGCTATCTGTTTATTCATCTAACACAAAAAAGGTGTTTTTTTTTTTACTTTGTTTAAAAAGAAAACGTGTTACCTTTTTTTTTTTTTTTTTACTTCAACAATGAAGTTTAAAAATATCGATTTAGTGACAAAATAGATTTGATTCAATTTTTGTATTTTTTTATTAGCATAATTTTTCAATTTATTTTTTCATGAAAGTTTTTATTTTATGTTTTGAGATTTTATAATTTTTATATAAAATTTCTTTCTTTCTATATTTTTTTTGCTTTTGAAAATAAAACAAAAATTCAAATAGAATAATAAAAAAAATAAAACATCCAGCATAAAGTAATAAAAAATTAAAAATAATCAATTTTTGTTTTTGTCTTTTTAAAAATATATAATTATAATAAATAAATTAAAAATATTTTTTTTCAAAATTATAATCAATAAAAAGCTAACACCTGTCTCCTTTGTTGTAAAAAGTCAAAAGAAAAGAAAAATTGAATTGATTATAAGCAGAGGGATCTCTTCTGCTTAACAAACCAAATCATAAAGATCGAATGGTTCGAATTGAAACAAAAAAAAAAATGCTTTTATGAAAAATCGATACTTGAGAAACCTGCAGTTTTAAGCCAAAAACAAAAACTGTATATTATTGATTCGGTCTAATGAACATGTATGTTTCTGAATTCAACCAATAAAGTATAATTTTTAAAAATTGAAAACTTCTCTCAATCAATGTAGTCTTCTTCATTAATTATGTCATTATCATCAATTATTTTTGTTCTTGTTAATATTGTCACTCACCTCCACTATCAACATCTTCCTCCTCTAGTAGTTTTTTTTTTAAAAAAAATAGTGGATAAAAAGATTTGACCATCCCTGGACGTTAAATCATTTGAGATTGAATCCTGATATGATTAATTTTTTTATTAGTTTTGAAGATCTCTAACTTTTTCTTTTATTTTTTTTTAGGTTTAGTCCATCTAATGATTTCAACTATCATCTTCTCCTCTAAAAAAATTAATTTTTGGTATTTTGATCTGAAATTTTATATACACGTTGAAAAAAAATTCAATCTATTTTGTAGAAAAATTCCATGATTTTTCAAAATAAAAAAGCTATATCTATTTATTTTTTGAACATTAAAAATATAAAAAATAGGAAAAATAAAAAATAACTCCGAAATAATTTCAAAATTTTTTAGAAGCCCTATGTAAATCTCAATAGATGATTTTTATCATGGAACTATTTATGTGATTGTTATTTTTTGAGATAAATGATAGAAAACTAAAGAATATGCTAAATCTTAAAAAATTAGAAATTAGAAATTTTCAAGATCAATAAAAAAAAATGCAAGAACACAACTTTAAATGATTTAAAGTTCATGAGTGATTAGACTATTTTACTCAAAGTTATATTCAGTTGATCAAATTCAAAAATATAAATGTTCAATGTATCAAAGTGACAACAAATGAGCTTTTATAATGAATCGGCAAAGACTAAAGTCAGTCGACGGGTCGACCTCAAATCGATTATAGTAAATTCAAATCTAATTTGTTTGATGAAACAGATCGGATCGAATCTTATATATTTAGATTGGGTTTTACAAATGAGCTTTTACAAATGTGAATTCATATTTGAATCGAGAGATCAAAAGATTATAAGAAATATTCTTCTATTTGTCTTTTTAGTATTTGGCACAAAAAAAAGGAACTTTCCATGTTTCTTTCTTATGTCGAAAAAAACAATGATTCTTGATACCATTCATCAAATATTCCTATTCTTCATTTCTATCTTTTCCAAGTTTATCATAACTTACTTTTCGATTTTATATATATAAATTCTATTTTTTATGTAAAAAAAAAAAAAAGAAAGAAAGGGAAATTTTGCTTAGCAAATAGAACTTCTTCAATGAACTTCAAAAAAATTTTTGAGATGCTAAAATAAACAATAAAGAGAGTAAAGTTCTATTGGAGATTTACGAGATTTATCACTTGGTTTTTATATAAAAAAAAATATTTTTACTATATTTTATATATTATTTAAATATAAAATATATTTTAAATACTATATTTATAATAAAATATATTGAAATAATGTTTCATCTCTCTATTTTATAAAAAATAAAAAATGCCACTACATTTACTAAGTACAATGGCTGCAAGCAGTCGGTTTAGCCTGCTGAATTCCCACATCAACATTGCGAAGACAAATCATCCGTGAATGCTTCGTGTCGTTCCTTCACGGAAAAAATCAAGTAGCCCTAGCTGTTCCGTCCCCAACAATTTTCATGTGATAGAAAAACACAAATTTCTCATGAGGACCCACACATTTGTGATTGAACGGCCACAAATTCTCCATATGAAATCACAGATTTGATCGACACCCGCAAGCGCACATCCTTTCTTATCTCCTTCATTACATGATAATCACGCACCATAAGCAAGAAGCAATGGGAGAAGTACTAGATTGCCTTAACTCAACTTATTACAAAACAACTTGGCTTGCGACTTGCCATTTTTCAACTCAACTAACACTAAGCTGAGCTTAACCTAAACATAGGACTTCCAAGAAACATAAAGACAGAGGAGCAGTTAGCTGTCAGCAGCAGTTGCACTAAGCAAAAGATCATGGGTTTCACCATGGGCTTGAACTTGGTGCTTCTCCTAGCCATGGTGGCCACCAACATCCTTTCCCTTTACCATCTTTCCTCCACTCTTCAATCTCCCAAACCCCCAACTCAGCAACCAGTTCCTAACCACCTTCTCCACCAACTCAACACCATACGCGCTACCATCAGCCACCTCACGCGCCACCAGCCACCTTCCACTACCCCTTCTCCCACCACTACCAAACCTTCCATACCTCAAGATCTCCTACTTTACTCGCACCTCTCACCTATAGCTTCTTCTTGCCATAACCACCCTGATCTTCTACACAAGTACATGACCTACACTCCTTATTCACTTTGCCCTCTTGACTCTGACCTTCTTGCGGAGTCTTTAATCCTCCGTGGCTGCCACCCTCTCCCTCGCCGTCGATGCTTCTCCAAAACCCCACCAAAACCTCCCTCCTCTCTTCCTCACAACCCTTTCCCTTCTTCGTTTCTTGACTCAAATGTAATGTGGAACAAGTATCCTCCTTGCAAGTCATTTTCTTGCCTAGCTAAGCAAAGCCCAGGCCTTGGTTATGATCTAAACGCCGAGATCTCCAAGTTTATGACTTATAAGACTGAGTTGGATCTCCCAATCCCGCAGTTGCTACAAGTAGCAAAATCAGCCAATTCTGTTATCAGACTTGGTATTGATATTGGTGGTGCTACTGGTACTTTCGCAGCTAGAATGAAGCAGTACAATGTGACTGTTGTCACTACAACAATGAATTTCAATGTGCCTAATAATGAAGTGGTGGCAATGAGGGGTTTAGTGCCACTTCATGTGCCGTTGCAGCAGAGGTTGCCAGTTTTTGATGGAGTGCTGGATCTGGTCAGATGTGGGCATGCAGTGAATAGGTGGATACCTTTGCCAACGATGGAGTTTTTGTTTTATGATGTTGACAGAGTGTTGAGGGGTGGTGGATACTTGTGGTTTGATCACTTCTTTAGTAAACGAGTGGATCTTGATAAGGTTTTTGGACCTTTGATTGGGAAATTGGGTTACAAGAAGGTGAAGTGGGCAGTTGGGAATAAAACTGATTCTAGCGGCTCGAAGAATGAGGAGGTTTACTTGACTGCACTTTTGCAAAAGCCTGTGTCAAAATGAGGATCATATATAATGTCATTTGAGGTAACTAGCTTAAATGCGTATTCATCAAGAAAAACTTGCTTAAATGCTTTCTTGATGGTAGCTTTACTCTAGCTCCTTAATGTAGTAGGACGTGTGAAAATCTAGATAGTTGGGAATATCTAAATTATAGATGCAGCCTGGTTGCATTACACTTGAATAATGTAGCTATGATTTGTGCTGAAAATTGTCGTAATATTTGTTTGAAATGAACTGGCCCATAGTGGAAGATTTGTTTGTGATTCTAATATCCAAAACTGAATTTGATCAATGAAGCCCTGAATTTTTGATTCACCAATAGGATGTGTTTCCTAGGGAAGAACTTCGCTTTTTTCCTCCATTCTAATTTTTTCTTCAATTGGTTAAAGTTTGATCCAGAGCATTGCATCTTTCACAAATTGCTGCATGACTTAGTAGGCCAAATACAGAAAAAGCTCGTATGAGGTGTTGATGAAGATCCTTTACTCATTAGTCATGACAACCTACTCCGGAAATGTTTCACATAGAAAATTTTTCTATATGCTGAATGTATTGCTCCCCTCTCATGCGTCCTCCTCTGGATCTCATACCAATGCGAGGAGGAGATAGCAGTGCACTGGATGCACTCAATAATTTCCCCGTTGCATATATCTAAACTGTGGGCATAAAACGAATTTTTTGTTTCTATCCTCTCTTTTTTTAGCCTACTATAACAAAAAAAATTTGACTTTCTGCTGGCAATTGTACTTTAAATTTTTATTTTCCATCTGCTATGTCTTTAGGAACTCTCTTTAATGCCTTGAATTCTTGTGATTGTAGCTGCATATCCATGGTAGAGAATCAAAGGGATGATTGTTATTCTAATATGATATAACACTCTAATGATAAGCCTCTGTTCAATTCCTTGTATTGAATTCAGTACTGCATTCAAATGTGAGAGATTATGAAAAACTATCGTCATCATTATCTCTGTTCAAACTGTGTTGCTTTAGATTGAAACATCCTTGATTTCTTCAAATAAATGAGACGACCAACTCTAAACACCCAGCAATGATAGTCATAAGAGTTGCGTATGTTGATACCAACATCTCTCTGCATCTTACAATGTGATACCTTTTTTGCAATAAAGTAATTCACTCTCCTAAAAATGCATCGTTTGTGTGATCAAAGATTGTGTCATTGATTCCCATAACCATAATTGATTTGGTTCTCCGGTCTCATGGAGGCTTGTTTTTGGGGATGAATTCATTAGGATTACTTTCCATGATAAATTTACAACCAGGAAGGAAAAGCATATCATGAGTTTGTTCCTAAACAAAGGAAAATCCACTGTGCATTTGTGCTAATTCTGATGCTTTGTTTCGTGTTCTTTATGACTAGTGTAAAACTGATCCAAATGTTGAAACAAATCAAAGGCTGCTTGCAGAACATAAATTGCTTCATTCCATCATTTCTCTGAAAGAAAGATAACAATAAGAATTTGCAACCAGGAAGGAAAAACATATCATGAGTGTGTGCCTAAATAAAGGAAATATTCACTGTGCGTTTATGCCAATTCTTATGCCTTGTTTCATGTTCTTCAAGACTGGTATAAATACCGATCCAAAAGTTGAATCAAATCTAAGGCTGCTTGCTGAACATAGTCTCTAAAAGAGATATAACAATAAGTTTGCATGATTGATTCGTCATTTATTCTTTGTTTGTTTAAGTTTTTGGCAACAACTAGTATTTCATTAACCTGTTACTGATTCAAATGTTAGGAATTATTTAACGTTCTGTGGTTGGAACTCCTGACAATATTGTCTGGATTTATGAATAAATGTTTTGCCTGTTCAGACGATAAACTGTAAGTTGGGTCAATTTATGTTATTTATTCAGGTATCATTGTCAGATCTTGTCAGTTGATTGATCAGGGGGCACAACGGACAACCCTTTTCAAGATTAGATCTCCTTACTTTACATGGAAGATGCAGTCCTTTGCCTTAGCAATGCAGCAAACATGGTAATTGGCACCAACGTGGATAAAGAGCAAAAGGTACCGAAATGTTGTAAAATAATAGAAGGGAAAACGGGCCGTACAGATTCAGAAGGGTTATTAGCAAAATGAGGTAAAGGTGGTGACTTTTCATTTGTTTTTGGATTCGTTGTATGTTATATCTTCAGTAGAAACTTCCAGAAATAAATCAACAGATGGAATCTTTTATGCCGACCATCAAATCTATGATAGTAAATTTATTGAAAAAAGTTGGCATTGTGTATGTGGTATTCAAGTCTAAAGAAAAAGAGCTTGGGATCCATTCACACTGAAAAGCTAGGTATGGACTATGGAGCAATCAAAAGCAGGCAGGAGGGTTCTGAATTCTGAAACAGCCTTTATGCTTGCATGCCATGATCCACTGCTAAGAAAATTCATTTAAGTCGCTCTGTTGTCTAAGATCTTATTCTGAGTAGAGTTCGCTGAGCTTGTCCTGATAATAATAGATCATTCATGTAATAAAATAGTGACTGGTATGTTACATCAACTTGATTCAAGTAATCTTAGTGGTAACAAATAATAATAAATTGATTGGATGTGTCACTACTTGTCTGCAATAAGGGAATACGGACTTAAAACCATATATTTGTATTGAGTATTCTCATTACAAGGTATACTAAAAAGAAAACGAAAAACTGCTGTAGTATTAACTATTTTACTAAAAAAATAGTTTCTGTTTTGATTTTTATTTTATGAATTTTTTTTAATTTTGATCATTAAAACTCTATCATGTTTTACTTTTATTTCTTCCTTATACATAATGAATTTTGTTAGTCTTATTGTTTATAATTTTTTTTTTTTTTGCTTTAAGTGAAATTTTTTTATTTATTTTGATTTTTTTTATAATCTTTACTTTATTTTGATCATTTCATTCCTATAGTGTGTAATTTTATCTCTATTTTTTTGCTAAATTCTCGATTTGAATAATTTTCTGGTCTTTTTGTTTTTTATCATTAAAAAATTATTATATTTGATTGTTATTCCTATTTTTACACTGTTCTAGGAATTATTTTTTTTATTTTGGCCCTAATTTTGTAATATATTTTTTATTTTGGTCATTAAAAAATTATTATATTTGACTTTTATCCATATAATAAATATTAAAATTTTATTATATTTTATTTTTATCCCTATAATAATTTTTTTTTGTAATATTTAATTTATTTCATTTTAGTCTCTAAAATTTTAAAATAAAAATTTTAATCTCTTGATTGAGACACTATGCATGTCTTTTTTTTTCTTTTTTTTCATCAATTAATGTTCTTTTTTTATATTATTGGATATTCAAATTTTGAAAAATTAATTTTTTCTTTCCTCTTTTCATCAATTTATGTTTTTTGTTTTTAATTGGGTGTTAAAATTTTTAAAAATTAATCACAATTTTTTTCCACACAAACTAACAATTATATAATATATTTTTTTATATTTTAAAATTAACATGTACTTCGATTTATATTACTATTATTATTTAAATGTCATCCTTTGAATTTATCTTTTTTATATAAAAATTCTCATTCAATTAATATTTTTTATAAGAAATTTTATTTATTGATATTATATAATTTATTTTTCTCTATGTTTGAATTTTAAAATAAAATTTTAAAACTTGATTGTTTTTTCTTATATATATATATCATGAATCCTTAGAATTTTTGCATGATAGTTGTATATATATAAATACATAATTATTTTATTCTAAAAGGTGAAAAATGTATTTCAAATAATTTATCTCAGTTCACTAGATATGGTCAAGACGTATAAAAAAAATTATTAAATAATTGATTTTATTAAAAATTAGCTATACAACTTCTAATATAATACAAATTATTTACTATAAATAGTTTTTTAACATTACGAGAACCAATTTATTTGAAATAAAATAATTAAAATAATTTTTTAAAGGAATCAACCATTTATTCAAATACTTTTTTATGCTAATTTTATTGATTATTTTTTAAATAAATATATATAGATCAAATGCATATATTTGAAAAAAAATTAATCTTCTCACCAACATTAAATAAGAATAAAATTTTATTTTTTCATTGGTTAATTTTTATGCAAGTCTATACATTAATTATAACTTTATTTTTCATATACATTCTTTTAAAAAATAAAATTTAAAAGTATTTATTTTTAAAGTTTTAATTAATATTTCGGGTTTAAATTATTACAAGTTTTTATTTAAGAATTCTTGAATAACGAAGAATAAGTCATGTTTTTTTTAAGCATAAATTTTATGAAATAAACACAAAAATAATAATAATTAAATAAAAAATTAATGAAAAAATTATAACATTTTGAAATGATTTTTTTCTATTTACCAATGTATATTGCACGAATAATTTCAAAAATTAATTTTTCTCATCACCATTAAATAAGAAATTTTTTCATTTGTTAGTTTTTGTAAAAATCTGTCCATTAATTATAACTTTTTTTTTTAGAATACGATATTGTGAAAATTATATTTTTAAAGTTTTTTCAATTCATGATTAATATTTTAGTTAAAATTATTATAATTTTTAATTTTAAAATAAATCCATAAAGAAGAATGATTTATATTTTTTTTTAAGTTGAGAATTTATAAAAAAACATTAGAAAAAAATTAATTAAATTAAATATTATAATTAAAAAATTAAAATTTTAAACTAATTTTATTCTATCGGACCGTGGCATAGTGCGGGCAACCTAGCTAGTTCATTATCGAAGGGAATCGTATAATTAGTAACATCTATAATTTATGGCTTATTGTATCATGAACTAAAGACTTTTTAATTATTACGTAACGTTTTTTTTAAAAAGTGAAGGAAAAATACATAAATTAAACTTATGATAACTATTTCGAGCATGGGAAGTATTTTTTGTCTTAAATTTTGAGTTCATATGACGTGGTATGACATGTAGGATGTCATTATAAATAACAATCCATATAAGATGACACGTGGCCAAAATTAGATTAAACGGA